AAATCTCTACTTAATGTATGCTAAACTGATCTTCTGTATATAAAGAGAATAAAAAATGAATCTTGATATGAATGGAAGGGGAGAGGGAGTGGGAAAGGGAAGGGTTGCGGGTTGGAGGGATGTTATTGGGGGGAAGCCATTGTAATCAATATTCTGTACTTTGGAAATTTATATTCATTAAATAAAAGTTAAAAAAAGAAGTGAAAAAGAAGTGTAGGTGTCTTGCGATGGCTAAGCCTTGAAACAACTTTAAAGAAAGGAGGAAAGATTTCTTACCATTGACAGCACCGTGATGCAGTAAGATCTCATTGTGATGGCCACACAGTCTGTGTTGTCCAGGAGCAAGGGATTTCATCATTGGTTGAGGGTTGGTTGATATGTTTTAGGTGGTTTTACAGAATTTCTTCTGGTGTGTGCCTTCCAGTTCTGCTTTCTGTGTGATAGCTAAAAAAACTGATTCTGAACCCAAAAGGCTGATTGGTGGATGCTGGGAGGGGAGGAAGCAAGAATGGTGGAGGGAGTTTTGATGAAACAGAATAAAGGAGCTCTGTGTGGCTCACGAATTTTGACAAACTCCATAATTCAGCTATTTACATTTGTAGATGTCATTCAGACAAAAAATCAGTGGGACGGACATGGGAACTCTGTGTACTGCTTCACAATTTTTGTATTGTACATTCAAAACTAGTATGCTATGACATGTTAAAAAAGACACCCAGATTTTCTAAACCCAAAGGAAAGCTATAAAGCAGAAATCACATTTGAACTTGCATCGTTGATTCTCTGTGTGCCCATTGGAATTGGAATGGCTGGTGTAAAATAGATTTTCTTGTCATCTGAAAGTTGACATCTGGGGCATAGCACTCAAGTGCACTGGGTGCCATCCTGAGCTTTATAGAAGTTCAGGGGCATCTGCTAATACTAACTGATAGAATAAATAAAGGGGAGAGCGATCCAACATGGGAAGTGAGATACATAGCAGACTCATAGAATGGTAGATGTCCTAAACAGCACTCTGGCCTCAGAATCAGCCCTAAAGGCATTCGGATCCAGCTGAAAAGCCCATGAGAGTATTTCAGGCATGGAAAGCCAAGACACTCCGGCAAAAAAAGGACCTAAATGAAAGATCTCTGTGAGTGAGATCCCAGTGGAAAGCACAGGTCTTCAAAGAAGGAGGTACCTTTCTCTGAAGGGAGGAGAGAACCTCCACTTTGACTATAACCTTGTCTAAATAAGATAAGAGTCGGAGAACTCAAAAGGCTCCCATAGCCTTGGAAACTCATGACTGGAGCAAAGGGAGATTACTGATGCCATAAACAGGAGTGTCAATTTGTAAAGTCAACAACAGGAGTCACTGTGCACTTACTCCTCATGTAGGATCTCTGTCCTTAATGTGCTGTGCATTGAGATTTAATGCTATAACGAGTACTCAAACAGTATTTTTCACTTTGCGTTTCTATGTGGGTGCAAACTGTTGAAATCTTTACTTAATGTATACCAAACTGATCTTCTGTATATATATAAAAAATTGAAAATGAATCTTGATATGAATGGAAGGGGAGAGAGAGCAGGAAAGGGGAGGGTTGTGGGTGGGAGGGAAGTCATTGAGGGGGGGAAGCCAATGTAGTCCATAAGCTGTACTTTGGAAATCTATATTCATTAAATAAAAGTTAAAAAAAAAGAAGTTCAGGGGCATCATCCAATTGCAAATATTCCCAGGGGTGTAGTCCTCTGCAGTGGAGAACTTTGGTTGAGAACAGGAAGACCCTGACACTACAAGAAGGCACTGACTCTTACTTCTAGATCCTGCTGGGCAGGTCACATCACCCTCTTTGCTTGGCTTCAACAACCAAGATGATAACAGTAATAACTCATATAACAGATTCAGTATGAACCAATCAGACCATTCTTGGAAAGCCCTAAGCTCATTCATAAGCTCTGGTGAGGGTAACTGATAATATCTCCAACATCTCCATGTCACTACTAACAAGGATTTTCTGTCCAGGGACTTAGTGACAGCACTTGGTGTGGAGACAGAGGACTCCCCTGCCTGCCAACCTGGTCTCTGGGGAACCACTTGCAAGAAGAAATAGTTTCATGTCCAGTCCAGTGTCCCTCAGATATATCAGGAGCTTATAGGTCAGAATAGCAGGGAGGGAGGTGCCTAAGGAGCAGGTGCAGGGAGCGGTAAATCTCTCCTCTGCCTCTATCCCTCAGCTTGCACAACCTCGGTCTAGAAGGACCTGGCTTTTGCTTTCAGAGTCCTGAGTCCGGCTCAGGGACTGATGCTTCTCTTCTTCTTGCGGCTTCATCTGGGACAGAGCTTCAGCCTCCATCATCTACCATCCAGGGAGGAACTGGAGCTTCCACACAAAAACCATTCTCTTAGGTGTCCCATCCTGGTGAGCCTGAGAGCCCACCAGGCACTGCCAAGGTCAGGGGGAAGAGGAAATGGAAGCAGAGAATTTTCTCAAGGTCAGTGGAGCTCTTCACCAGCTTAGCCCATGCCTGAAAGACAGCTGAGGGTGCTTGCTTGCTCCTAGATAACTGAGTTGCTGGAAAGCATCAGACTGCGCAAGGCAGTGGCATTGCTAATGGTGTGGGGAATCCAACTATAAGACAGTAGCAGGGAAATAAAGTGCTTTCAGGAAAATAGAATTAAGTATAAGAAATTTTGTATTTAAATGGATCATTGAGGGAAAATGCCAGCTCCAGCTCTTGGGACTGCGTCCCACACTCAGTCCCCACCTTCCCCAGAGCTGTTTGTAAGAGGGGCATATTTGAATGCTCCTTATTGAGAAGAAAGATGCAGAATGGAAAAGTGCCAGCAGGTGTGACACTGCAATGTATGCCTATGAGCCACACGTGTCTCCATGTCTTGTCTCACATTGGACACTTGCATGAGCAATGCAGAATTCATCATTAGGTGAAGCCAGGTGGGTTACAGTGGCCTCACTGCAAGTCAATGCCTTGAGGCTGAACTTCTTGAGCCTAATTCATTAATTGCATTCTCTCTCTCTCTCTCTCTCTCTCTCTCTCTCTCTCTCTCTCATTAATTGCATTCTCTCACTCTCTCATTAACTGTGCAAGTCATTCCTTTAGTGCAGTCCCGTCTTTTATTAGTCCCGTCTTTTATTGCATCCTTCTTAGAAAGTATTAGCAAATTTTCACTACCTTTTGAATTCCACTAAATTGTTTCCTGTACATATGTAAGGGTATTCCAAAGCTTTTGTAGTACAATGAATTCAGGGTGTGGAAATTTTGAAAATCATGGTGCAAAAATTTTCCCTCCATGTTTATGAGAGTTGATCAAAAAGTTAATAAAAAGAAATGCATATTTTGCAACAGATATGCACCAAAATGGATGTGCCTTTAAGTTCTATGTTCCACCCCCTTCCTTAAGTACCCTGGTAGCTTTATTTAGGGGTTGGAAAAATTTGTGATTTTCTATTGCGAAATAAAAGTAAATCTTCCTATGTTCCCCCCACACTGTTTTTAAATATAGAAGGGTGTTCTGAATTTTTAGTGTTGATCATTTGCTTTATACGTGTTTCCAACTTGTTTTCTCATTCAATTATTCCTGCAACTAGATGTCCTTGGAGTTCCTATTAGTCAAAAGTCATGTGTCACTTTGCATCCTCATGTAGAGTTTGTTGTCACCCATCATTTAACTAAGGATCACTTTATCTTCTATTTTATTTTATTTTTTTTTAAAAATTTTTTTGACAGGCAGAGTGGACAGTGAGAGAGAGAGACAGAGAGAAAGGTCTTCCTTTTGCCGTTGGTTCACCCTCCCATGGCCGCCACAGCTGGTGCACTGCAGCCGTCGCACTGCGCTGATCTGATGGCAGGAGCCAGGTACTTATCCTGTTCTCCCATGGGGTGCAGGGCCCAAGGACTTGGGCCATCCTCCACTGCACTCCCTGGCCACAGCAGAGAGCTGGCCTGGAAGAGGGGCAACCGGGACAGAATCCGGCGCCCCGACCGGGACTAGAACCCGGTGTGCCGGTGCCGCAAGGCGGAGGATGAGCCACGATGCCGGCCACTTTATCTTCTGTAAGAAAAATTGAGTCCACAAAAGTTGATACAAGATAAACTATACCTTAAGATACACCTTCAACTAGTATGAAAAGTCTTTTTCTATTTCAAAAATAGAGAGAAAGAGAGAAAGAGTGAGAGGGAGAGATAGGGAGAGATAGGGGAGAGAGAGAGAGAGAGAGAGGAGAGAGAGAGAGAGAGAGAGAGAGAGAGAGAGAGAAAGAGACCTGCTATTCAGTAAGTTACTCCTCCAATGGCTACGACAGCCAGGGCTGGGTGAGGCTGAAGTCAGAAGCCAGAAACTACATCCGGGTCTCTAATGTGGGTGAAGGGACCCAAGCACATTGGCCATTTTTGCTACTTTCCTAGGCACATTCACAGGGACCTGGATGGGAAATGGAGCATCCAGGGCTTGAACTGGTGCGCACATGTGGTGCTGGTGCTGCAGGTGGTAGCTTAACCTGCTAGCCCAAAACATCTTGGTGTTATGTTCTCTCTGCAGGTATTTGTCAATATGATGGTGAATTAGTGACTGTTGTTGATGCCATTTAATTGTTATGATTTTGCTTTTCAATTTTTCAAAATATTAGCCCTTTTCTATCAAGTGTTTTGTGTTCTACCTTTTTTATTCCTAAGTCCATAATTGCATTCTGACTACCAGTTTTGCATGAATTAAAAGGAGAGACATTCAGTGTTATGATGCTGCCAGATGCAGGGGCACATGAGACTTTTAAACCTTGCTTCCCTAATGTCCATGTAATTTCTATAATTCATGTATCTAACTATGTATTTATCTATGTTTCTATGTATATATCTGTCATCTATCTGTATCATCTATCCATCATATGTCTATCATCTATCAGATGTCTATCAGCTATCTATCCTCTACCTATCAATATCTATATCTATATCTGTCACTCTATCTCATGTAATTTTTCTTATTCTTTAGTGACTTACACCACATGGAACCAGGCAACAAAACACACCTTGCAGAATTCAGTCTCTGGGGATTCTCAGAGGACCCAGAACTGCAGCCCCTCATATTTGGGCTCTTCCTCTCCATGTACCTAGTCACTGTAGCTGGGAACCTGCTCATCATCCTGGCCATCCTCTCAGACCCCCACCTCCACACGTCCATGTACTTCTTCCTCTCCAACCTGTCCTTGGTGGACATCTGCTTCACCTCCACCACCATCCCCAAGATGCTGGTGAACATCCAGATGCAGAGCCAAGCCATCAGCTATGCAGGCTGCATCACCCAGATGTACTTTTTCATAGCCTTTGCAGGTTTGGATGACTTTCTCCTGACTGTGATGGCCTATGACAGGTTTGTGGCCATCTGTCACCCTCTGCACTACACAGTCATCATGAACCCCCGGCTCTGTGTGCAGCTGGTCCTGATGTGCTGGATCATCACTGTCCTGCATGGCTTGTTACACAGCCTACTGGTGCTGCAGCTGTCCTTCTGTGCAAACCTAGAAATCCCCCAGTTTTTCTGTGAAGTGAATCAGGTGATCCACAGCGCCTGTTCTGACACCTTTCTAAATGATCTGGTCTTATATTTTGCTGCTGTCCTGCTGGCTGGGGGTCCCCTGGCTGGGATCCTGTACTCCTACTCTAAGGTCATTTCTTCCATCCGTGCAATCTCAACAGCTCAGGGGAAGTATAAGGCTTTCTCCACCTGTGCCTCTCACCTCTCTGTCGTCTCCTTATTTTACGGCACGAGCATAGGTGTGAACCTCAGTGCTGGTGCAGCCCCCAGCTCAGCCTCCACTGCCACAGCCTCTGTGATGTACACGGTGGTCACCCCCATGCTGAACCCCTTCATCTACAGCCTGAGGAACACAGACATGAAGAGGGCTCTGAAAAGACTCTTGGTCCGTGAGCCATAGAGGAACCCATGGCATTGGAGCTGAAGAAGAGTCTAGGACTGCAGGGTTTCAAGCCTCAGACCAGACAATGGGATTCTTTGATCAGATTGGAGGAACAGAACTCACTTAGTATGTCCTCTGTGTTTTTTTTTAATCACATTATCATTTTCAACGATTGACCTGTTGTGCTTAGTGTTATCTCAATGTATTTTCTTTCCAATTTTCCTTTCCAGTTTTCTTACCAATGTTGTTCCTGAAATAAAAGGGTGCTTAAAAAATTTCATGAAAAATGGAGGTGAAAGAGGAGTTAGTTTATGTGTTGAGCAACTTTGAGTTACATTGTATTTTTCTTTTTGCAATGCACCTGCTCCTTATGCAATTAAGTATGAAGAATTCAAAAAGACACACATCCATAAATAAGAGTGTCAATTGTTAAATCAACAACAAGAGTCACTTTGCACTTGCTCCCTGTGAAGGACCTCTGTCCTTAATGTGTTCTATTATGAGAATTAATAGTAAAACTAGTACTCAAACAGTACTTTATACTTGTGTGTCTGTGTGGGTGCAAACTATTGAAATCTTTACTTAGCATAGAGTTGATCTTCTGTATATAAAGATAATTAAAAATGAATCTTAATGAAGAATGGGATGGGAGAGGAAGTAGGAGATGGGATGGTTTGCAGGTGGGAGGGTGGATATGGAAGGAAGAACTGCTATCATCCAAAAGTTGTACCTATGAAATTTATATTTATTCAATAAAAGCTTTCCATAAAATAACTCAATCAAAAAGCCACATTTCTTGTGGTGTAATATGTGTATTTCTGAGAAGCAGTTTCTTGTCAAATCACAATACCATGCTTATGACATATTTTTTAGGTTAGTAGTTTATTTTTGAAAGAAAATATTTTAAATCAACATTACAGTGAAACACTTAAAGGTGCTATTCCGGTCCTGTGGGCACCTACCCTTGGCATTGAAGCCATTTCTGCAACTTCAGAGTAGAACAAATCATCAGATCATAGTTTGCTCTTTGTCCCCCCTCCCTGCCTGCATCTGACCTTGCAGGATTCCTGCAGACACCGCAGACTCCAGCACCAGTGTGCTGCGTGTGTGGGCACCGGGTTTCCTGCTCCTGGAACCATCGTAGGATCTGCAGTGCAAGACTCAGTCACTGGAACAACCTGAGTCTATTCCTTCAGGGTAGCTCATCACACTCACATCCCCCAGTACAGGTGCCAAGGAGAGAGAAGTTTGGAAATGTAGATTGTCTTGGTATGAGCAAGAGTCAAATGACCTTCAATAAAAGGCAGCCAGGCTGTCAATCATAGGTAGCATTGTGATGTCATTGTATTTCACTGTTTTGTGTACATAGTTTCTGGTTGATTGATTGGTTGATGTGTTTTATGTCATTGCATTGAATTTTCTTACTGTTTCTGCCAAAAATTTTCAGTGCTGCCTCTGAACTCGACTCCCCTCATCAGCAAAAGGAAACCTCCCTCCCTTGTCTCCCATTGTAGGGGCTGAATGTGGGGCTGAGTGAACAGCATCGTTCCCACCCACTCATTTCCCCTCCATGCTCAGGGATCCCCTCAACTGTGACTCACAGAGAACACGGTTGCTGATCCAGCCACGTGAGTTGGGACCACCCATGTTCTTGTTCAGATGTTTCCATTCTTTCAATGGCTCTGATTCCCTCAAAGGCAGTCTCCACATCACAACTTCATAACACCAGCACTGAAGTGACCTGGAGCAACACATCATTTATAAATGTTGCCTTCCAATACGTGAACCAAACAATGCCAAAGCAATCAGGTCTCATATGTTTGTGATCTCTGCCTGTTCTATTCAGTCTGGTTATTGTATACATTGGCCTATGGTGCAAAATCAGCCATCATTGTTTTGAAATTCAGAGTTACAGAGAGAGAGGGAGGGAGAGATCCTCAATCCACTGTTTCACTCTCCAGAAGGATGCAACAGCCAACTCTGGGTCTGGCCAAAGCCAAGAGCCAGAAGCTCTATCCAGGTCTCCCTCATGGTCAGCAGGGGCCCAAGTACTTGGGCCAATTCCTGCTGCTTTTATAAGGTGCTTAGCTGGCTGCTGTATCAGAAGTGGAGGAGCCAAGTCTTGAAAAGGCACCCATATGGCATGCCAGCATCCTGGACTGCAGCTTAACTTATTACACCACGATGTTGACCCCTAAAATAGTTTAATGAAATAACTTTCTGTAGGCTGGGATGGGGCTCTGGAGAATTGTTCTGAAGCTCAGCTTCTCCCACTTCTGCAGGCAGCTGTGAGTCCTAGGTCATGGCTCTGAATCCCAGCCATGCTTCTATGTGTGGCTGTAGTGATTTTCTCTCAGCCTTCCTGGCCTGGGCTGTGAAGTCTTTCTCCAGCCTGGGTTAGACCACGAAGTTCTCCTGCCAGTGTCGAGGCTGGTGCACGCCCTTGAACACTACGGCTGAGCTGAAGGAACCTTTTTCTTATTATGGCACCCACCCTTAGGTGGGTACCTATTTCATGATACCATTTCATGATACCATTTCATGGTACCATTTCTTTTTTTTTTTTTTTTTTTTTTTTTGATCTTTGGAGAATAAATTTGCCTTTATTTAATGTTTAATTACTTGCAAGGGGGAGAACAAAGATGGAGAAAAAGAGGGGGAGAGAGAGAGAGAGAGAGAGTGTGTGTGTGTGTGTGAGAGAGAGAGAGAGAGAAGATCAATATCTTCTATCTGCTGTTTCACTTGGCAAATGGTCTCAATAACAGGGCCTGGGCCATGTTGAAGTTTGAAGCCCAGAAGTCAGTTTAGGTCTTTTTCTTTTCTTTTCTTTCCTTTCCTTTCCTTTCCTTTTCTATTCTTTTCTTTTTTTTTATTTTCCTTTCTTTTCTTGCTTTCAAAGATTTTTTATTTGTTTGAAAGTCATAGTTCCAGAGAGAGGGAGAGGGAGAGAGAGAGAATATCTTCCATACTATGGTTCATTCCTCAGATGGCCACAATGACCAGGGCTAGACCAGGATGAAGTCTGGAGCCAGGACCACCTTCTAGTTCTCTCATGTGAGTGGGAGGAGCTGAGTACTTGGGCCATCTTCCTCTGCTTTTCTCAGACCATTAGCAGGGAGCTGGATCAGAAGTGGATCAGCCAGGACATGAACCTGTGCCCATGTGGGATACCAGTGTCCCAGTCAGCAGCTTTACATGCTATGACACAATGCCACCCTCAATCCAGGTCTTTTACATAGATTCTATGTACATGAGCCATCGTCTGATGCCTTCCTTGGTGTGCATTAGCTGGACACTGGAATCAGAAGTAGATCCAGGACTCAAATATAAGTACTCAAATATGGGTACAGTGTCAGATACTTTGATATAGGACACAGACATCCCACTCAGGGTCTTAACTGCTATGTCAAACACCTATCCTTGAAAAAAATATATTTAGGCTCTTTGATAATTCATATTTGCATAAACATTTGTGGTAGGAAGAAACTATATTCATATATTATAGCAGCACAGCTACAAGATAGGTCTATATCTATGTGTACACAATGGGTCTTCAAAACATAGATGAAGGGGCCGGTGCTGTGGCTTACTTGGTTAATCCTCTGCCTGCGGCTCCAGCATCCCATGTGGGCACCGGGTTCTAGTCCCGGTTGCTCCTCTTCCACTCCAGCTTTCTGCTGTGGCCCGGGAGGGCAGTGGAGGATGGCCCAAGTGCTTGGGCCCCTGTATCATGGTACCATTTCATGGTACCATTTCATGATAGAAATGCAAATGTGCTCATATTATTGTGCATGTTGTATTACCATTTCTGTCAAAGCTAATGACTTGTGACTTCAACCAGTTGTAGCTCTTACAAGTCTGGAGGGCAGAAGCATGGAATGGGTCTCTTTAGGTCAAATCCACGGAGCCTGCATTTCTTCTGGGGACCACACAGGGAAACCATTTCCTCTCCTATTCCAGCTCCTGCTGACCAAGTGCTATCCCTGCTTCATGGCCTTTCTCTGTCTTCCAAGGCCAGCAGTGCAACCTCTCCCAGCCTCTCTCTGAGTCCACCTCTTGTGTCTTCCTCGTCCACATTCAAAGGACCATGGTGATCACAGTCGTCCCTCCTGGAGATTCTAGAATCATCTTTTTCTTGACTAGTACCTGAAATCTGACCCACTCCACCTTCTGCCATGGAAGCCGATGCACGTGCACGTTTTGAGGATCGACAGTATGTCTTTAGGAGTTGTTTCTTGTGCTGAGTCTACATTTTTCATTTGCACAGCATTTGATGTCACCCCAGACACTTAGGTAAAATAGGAAAATCCAAAATGTGTCATAGGTTCACAGGGAGTGGATGCACATTTCCTCATAATTTCATGCAGAGATATTCCTGTTGACACGATCCTCACATTACCTACATGTGACATCAAGGATGCTCACAACCTTGCTCCACAATGCATTATAAAGGCTAGGACCCACATCACCAACACCACCTGGAGACATAGTAGAAATGAGAGATGTGGGGTGTCCCCAGCAAAAAGAGGTGACAAATGTCTGGCATGATGATGACCCTTATTGGATCATTGCACATTCGGTATGAATAAAGAAATGTCACATCATCCACTGTATAATATTTACATCCTGTGTTTCAGTTAATCTAAAATATCATGGTATGAGTTTAGTCTAGTGGTTAAGATGCCAATGTGTTGTGTTGGGATATCACGTTTGAGTCCCAACATCCACTCCAGCTTCCTGCTTCTCCAATAAGTAAATTATGAAAAATATAAGCAGAGTTTCTTCAAGTTACACTCATTTGGATGCAAATGACAGGAGTTAATTTTTGGATATGACTGAGTGGTAAGTGAAATAAGCCAGACACGCAAAACAGGTACTGCAGGTTTTTGCCCATTTGTGGGACCTGAACCCAAACTCAATGACGTCATAGATTTGGGATTTCTAGAGTCTGTGAGTGGTAGGGAGACTGGGGAGATTAGAGTACAAAGGATAGGACAAATGGGTAAGCTTTATAGATT